GTCCTGAAGGGCCCTGTGAGTAGGGATTGGCACAGTGGCAGTGGGACGTGTCTGAGTTGCTGTCTTTCTGTCTGAGACAGATCCCTGTTTTTATTTTCAGCAGTGGAGAGCCACTGATCGGGATCTGCCAAGCGGATCTGGCAGGCAAGCTGTTGTGTTTAAATGTGCAGAGATGGATCCGGCAGGTTTTGTCACTGGGTGCACACCCAGGTGCAGCGTGTACAAATACCCCTGGGTTGTTTCCTTTGTATTGTTCTCCAGTTTCAACAAATAGTGACTTTTATGAGACATGCCTGTGGCTCTTCGTCTGCCAGCTGGGGGCTGCCTGTTTGGACTCAGATCTCACAGGATGCCGGAGGACACATAAATACATACATTTGATGTGTTGTGCTTTGAATCCTGCCAGGAACCTTCGTGCCCCACCCTGATCTTCCAGGGCTGTGTGAGATTTCTGTGGGTTCTGTGGGTTTCCGGCTCAATGTGCAGAAAGAAATCAATTACAGAAACCAGCGATCAGAGGCCATGGATTCGACTCCGACTCATGGTGCCCCCCGCGTGTCAGTGGGACTGGGTTTCATAGGGTTTCCAGAAGCACATCTCCAGGTCTTTCTTCAAAGGCACCTGTGGTGGATTCAAATCACAACCCTTTTAGATTGCAGCCAAGCACTTAATGAGGGATTCGATGAGAAGACAAACCTGCTGCTGCGAACATTTGTCTCGCGACGCCCCATGTGTGTCAGACTGAGTTTTTCTCAGAAGCAGATTGCCAAACCTTTCTTATGAGGTGACTCTGTGTGGATTCGAACCTCTGGCCTTTTGGTGAGCAGCTGAGTGTGTTCACCACTGGCACCACCAGGGAGTCCTGAGACAGGAAAGTGGTCTGAAATCAGAGTGGACTTCCGAATGAGCAGATGGAAAGGACCCAAGTTTTAGGGGATATGGTTGCACGGATGAAGCAACAGGGACTGGATGTTCATTGAGACCCCACGTGCCACCTGTCACTGCTGTTAAAAGTCGTCACGTCAGCTCCGACAATAGGCCAAAATGCTGCCCAGTCCTGCGCCAGCTGCGCCATTGTGGCCGCATCTGAGCCCACTGCTGGAACCAGTGCATCAGCTCATCTTGCTGCTCCTTTTCAGTCCATCACCAAAGAGCCAAGTTACAGAAACAGGAGAACTCAGGTATAATGTCAGGAGGGAGACCCCGAGCAGCCGCCTTCTGTCTGAACTGCACAGGTGTGGGCAAAGGCTGCATGTGCTGAACTAGAGCTTCTCCCAGTGCGGTGAGGCTTCTAAACCTCACAGCTCCAGCCAGGTGCCTCATGTGCAGGTGAGAGCTGGACAATGAACAAGGAGGGCTCGAGAGGAATTGATGCATTTGATTTATGGTGTTGGTGAAGAATATGCAATATTCCTTGGACTACCGGAAGAAGAAACAAATCTGTCTTGGAAGAAGTATAACCAGAATGTTCCTACATGAGAGGATGGTGAAACTTCATCTCTCATTCTTTGGACTTCTCAGGAGTGACCATCCCTGGAGAAGGACATCGTGCTTGGTGAAGAGGAGGGTCAGCGAAAAAGAGCAAGACCCCCAATGGGATGGACCGGCACAGTGACAGCAGCAGTGGGCTCAAACGTAACAGCAATTGTGAGGATGGAGAAGGACCATTTTGGCCATTCCCACAATATCTCATGCTTTTCATCACGTTGTTGTGAACGTCACAGACCACCGTCGACTGTCAGCATCAGTTCGTGTGACTCGATCCACTGCGGCATTTTCTTTATTGTGGTGACTGGGGCTGGAACTCGCTGTATCTCTGAGTTGTGTCTGTAAATGACTCTGTGCCTGCAAGTGTGGGGTTAGAGGTACTACTGATCCAGGCTATGGGGGGCTGTGACCAACTGCCTGGGTTAGGACTCAGACCGAATGGATAGTTGAGAAGGAAAAGCCCAGCTCACTGCAGAGCCCTGAGATTGAGAGCTGGTGGTGTTCTGGAAGGGACCACTGCGAGGTCAGAATAGCACCCAGTCAAGTGTGGGTGTTGTCATTGTTGTTAGGTGCCATTGAGTCGGCTGTGACTCTGAACAACCCTGTGTACCACAGAACAAAATGTTTTCTGGTTCCACATCATCTTCACCATTGCTGGTCATCTGGGGCCCATGGCTTCCACTACTGTGTGCTCCCAGTGCCCCCCAAGCTAGAGGCTCATCTTCCAGCATGAAACCAGGCAACCTTCCATTGTGATGCATAAAGAAACCAAAACTCCTCACCAGTGGACCAATAAACAACATCCATATCAAAGGAGAAAAGATAGAAGTTGTCAAGGACTTCATTCTTCTTGGATCAACTATCAACACTCATGGAAGCAGCAGTCAAGAAATCAAACGACATATTGCATTTGGCAAATCTGCTGCACGAGACCTTTTTAAAATGTTCAAGAGCAAAGATGTTAGTTTGAAGACTAAGGTGCACCTAACCCAAGCCATGGTATTTTCAATAACCTCATATGCATGTGAAAGCTGGACAGTGAATAAGGAAGACCGCAGAAGAATTGATGCTTTTGAGTTATGGTGTTGGAGTAGAATATTTAAAGTGCCATGGACTGCCAAAAGAACAAACAAACCTGTTTTGGAAGAAGTGCAGCCAGAGTGCTCCTTGAAAGCTATGATGGCCAGACTTGATCTCTTATATTTTGGACATATCATCAGGAGGGACCAGTCACTGGAGAAGGATAGCATGTTTGTTACAGTGAAGGGTCAGAGAAAAAGAGGAAGACCCCCAACGAGATGGACTGCCACAGTGGCAGCAATGCGCTCAGGTTTAGCAAAGACGGTGAGGTTGGCGTGGGACTGCGTAGTGCTTCATTCTGCTGTGCATAGGGTGACTACGATTCGGTGCTGACTCGATGGTACCCAACATGACTCACAATTGACTTGATGGCATTCAGCATCACCAACAATGGCTAATGATTGCTAGCAGTTCTTCATATGTTTATGGGCCGCCTGAGTGTCTTCTTTGGCAAAGTGTTCATGTTCTCTGCCCATTTTAAAATTGTCTTCCTCCCATCTTCTTACTGAGGTGTTGAAGTATTCTCCACATTTTAGACAGTAGTCTCTGTCTGCTGTTTTGCCAAAATGTTTCCCAGTCTGTGGTTCTTGTCTTACTCTTTAGGTGAGATCTTTTGATTCACACGTTTTGTTAATTCTTTACAGGACTAGATGAGCGCTTTAGGTTTGAATCACCAGGGCTCCTGAGCCCTGCCCCTACTGGTACCTTATCAACTAGTAACTGACTATGGGTGGAACCCCACCAGCATCCTACCAAGGTGCCAGATGCATGCTAGTGGTATCAATTCCTGTCATATCGTCCAGCCAGTGACCCTAATCCTCTACACATCTCAGACCTCAGTCACGACGGGGACCAGCGGAGGCGACCTCAGTCAGTGTGGGCACAGTTAGGAGCTGTGGTTAGACTCTTAAGGAGATGTGGTAGCAGAGTGGGTTACGTGTTGGCCTGCTCACCACAGGGACTGTGGTTCGAGGCCCCCAGCTGCGTCTCAGGAGAAAGATGAGGCTTTCTGCTCCTATCCGTGGCCCATGACTACTTAGGCTTTTGGAAGGAGTCTTCTCTCGCACAAAGCTTTGCAGCTGCAGAACACCAGAGAGGCATGTCTCCCGCCCACGGCCATCGGATCCTTTCCAACTCAAAGCAACCGTGCAGGACAGAGTAAAACCACCTCATTGTGCCCCAAGGACACCGGTGACACAGTGCTAAAGCACTTGACTGCTAACTGGAAAGTCCGTAGTTCAAAGTTCTGT